GGAATCCTACTTCGCGGAATTTCATTTATCACAGTAGGGTCTAGAACCGATTAACCGCGATAAACGAGGGTTCACTGTACATCAGTTACCGCCCCCACCCCTAAGTCCCTCTCTCGTGCCTTATGCGCCGTCTTCTTTGCTGAAGAACATTTATTGATCCTCGTCCTGGAGTGCTTCCTTCGCGGTGTGCAATGGCCTGCCATACTCTACAGGCCAGAACGGTGCCATCCCTGTTGGCTCTGAGCCTAGAACGGTGCCCGAGAAGTGGTGACATTTCGATAAAACTGTATGCGGAGCGGACGGCAGCATAAAACAAAGCCAGAGAGTTCAGAGTTCGAATCCCAGCTCTGCCGCATGCCAGCTTATAACCCTGAGCCATCTCCCTTTCTCCGCTCACAACAAGGTGACGGAGACTTCTGGAGACCCTAAGGTGTGTCATGTTAGTATCCATTCCTCTTCCTCCTGTGTTTACACCTGAGCTAAGCAGGGCGTTTCCACGTGGCTGGAGGAGGGCAGGGCAGGGAGGACGGCCCGCCCGTCCCAGGCACACTCACCTGGAGACACCTCCAGCTGGATGCCCATCAAGGGGTAGAGGATCTGGGAACTGTTCCGCATGCACCAGTACCGGCCCGAGTCCTGGCGCCTGAGCGCTGCCATGGTGATGGTGACCACCTTGGCCTGAGCATCGTCCTCCAGCAGGTAATGAGGCTGCTGTGCCCAGACGCGGGTGAACCCAGGCTCACATCGGTTCCTCCTGATTCGGCACCAAACCTTGCCGTCCATGCGGTGCTTCCGGTTCTTGTAATGGCACTGCACAGACAGCGTCTCCCCCTCCAGGTGCTGCACTCGGGTGTACGTGTTCCGGACCGGGGGACCTGGGGAGACACGCCGGGTTGAGCAAGGGCTGGCAAGAGAGGAGGAAGGAGGCGTTTTGAAACTCACAACTGGTGGTGAAGGGGGGAGGCGTGGATGTTGCCCTGCAGTTGGTGAGTCTGAGGGTGGGAACACAGCCCGGCCCTCAGGCAGCCCCAGTGGGGGGCGGGGTGGCAGAGGGTGGGTAAAAGCCCTACACTGAAGGGGTCCCAGTCCATTGAAAGAGTCACAGGTCCCACCTGCTGGGAGTTCCCAGCCTGATGCGGAAGACAATATTCCTGCGGGCTTTGGGAGTTCTAGTCTGCTGAGGGAGAAAGAGGACGTTCTCTCAGGGAGCCCCCGTGCAATGGAGGAAATGCAGGCACGCCCTCAGGCAGCCTCCAGTCTCATGGAGGACACCCAGTCCGTGTCCGCAGGGAGCCTGCCAGAAGCAGCACCTTACACAGAATTGTCGGGTTTGATGGGAGAGCCAGACTAGTTTGATGAGGATGTCAGAGGTCTGCAGGCTCCTGAGAAAGGGTCAGGTCCCGCCTTTAATGAGCCAAATATACCAGGCAAATCATTAAGTTGAGAAACTTTAGAGCTCCAGAAACGTAGGTGCTTTGGGAAGATAAGCAAATTCAATTCTTTGAGAAAAGGGCAGACTGGTTAGGTAGATCATAGATAAGTTCACTGTTGTTGTTTAGGATGCTCAAGTTGACTTGAACTTACAGCAAACCATGTGACGGGACAGAATTTCCTCATAGGGCTTTCTTCCTTTTTAAATTGATGGTAGAAGGTTTTTAGCTTATTAATTTTTAAAATCAATATTTAAGAAACGTCTTCTGAAATTCATAGAAAATGCAAAGGACCAAGGTTAGCTAAGGCAATCCTAAAAACCTGAAACAAAATTGGAGTGAAGCTGTGAGAATTACGACGCTGTTAGGCTGATGTAAATCTAAACAAATGGGTCAAAGGTCAGAATAGCAAGTCTAGAAAGATAGCCACACAGATGTGATCCGTGACACCACGAACGCCGCCGCAGCAACGTACAGATCTGAGAGTCAATGGCTAAAAAACATTTTGGAAGAAATGGATATGAGATAGGAAAAATTGTCAAACACAGGACTCGTCATTAAGAAACATCTTAATAAATTGGACTACATTCAAAAGACGAATTTCTCCTTATTGAAAGGTCACTCACAAAGTCAATTGTGAGCCATGATACTGCAGAAAGTAATTGCAATGCTTTTTATATAGTAGGTTCACCCCACTATCTGAAAGAGGGTTCCTATGAAACTTTTCAAAGACCAAAACACCGTAAAGCGAAGCAGAAATTACCATTCATTTGAACGGAGAAATATTTTGAGAGTTCTCAGACCAAAAAAATAACCTGCTAAATCATATCCCATAAAAGCATAAAACCTAAAAGAACACTAACTAGTGTTCACAGACAGAGTTCAAAGCTAGGCGACTTTGTGCTGAGATACAGAAATTAGGCTCAGGGGAAGGACTTTAGGGTGCCACTCTCCCTGGTCATGGGGGATACAATGTGCCTCTTAATGTTGTTGTTGTTCGGTGCTTTGAGTCAACTCCGACCCATAACGACCCCCATGCACAGAACAGAAGGTGACCCTGCCCGGTGCTGCACCAGCCTCACGGTTGCTCCTGTGCCTGAGCCCATTGTATCTGAGCCATGGTGTCCGTCCATCTCCTTGAGGGCCTGCCTCTCTTTCCACTGCCCCTCCACTTGACCGAGCATGATGTCTTTCTCCATGATGTCTCTCCTGACACCATGTCCAAAGTATGTGAGGCGAAAGCTTACCATCCTTGCCTCGAAGGCAGTGGTTCTCAATCTTCCTAATGTTGTGACCCTTAATACAGTTCCTCATGTGGTGGTGATGCCCCAACCATAAAACGATTTCCGTTGCTACTTCATCACTGTCATTTTGCTGCTGTGATGAATCGGGTGACCACTGCGAAAGGGTCGTTAACCCCCAAAGGGGTCGCGACCCACAGGTTGAGAAACACTGCTTTAAGGATTACTCTAGCCATATTTTTTCCAGGACAGATTGGTTTGTCCTTTCAGCAGTCCATGTACTTTCAATATTCTCCTCCAGTGCCACAATACCAATGTGTCAATTCTTCATCCGTCTTTGGTCCTACGGGCTTTACACCAGGCATGTCACCGTGGTCCATTCCACTCGAGAAAACAGTTCCTGCTCAGTCACATTTCAAGTGTCCTCTGACCAGAGAGGTCCATGCTCTGCCTCTACCTCAATGTTCTGTTTCTAGTCCTCAGGCCTTCAGTACCTGACAGTGTTTCGGAGCTCTGCATAAGGTTTTTGGCGGCTTCTCCACTGAAGTGGGGAGCCAAGTCCTTCTGCATTGTCTGTCCTCGTCTGGAAGCTCCGCTGAACCTATTCACGCTGGGCGACCCTGCTGGCATTGTAAATACCAGGGACAGAGCTCCCAGCAGCACAGCAGCACACAAGACACCGCAGTGTGACAAGCGGACAGACAAGCGTGGACTCCTTGAATGCGCGGCTCATGCTCCCACTCACGGTCCTGCTGCTGCTGCTCCTCGCGTCACAGCTGTCACCTGGATCAAGAGGGTTCCATGAAGAGGGGTCTCGGGATAAAAAAACATGTGCTCCACTCCTCGTTCTTCTCGCCCTGCTTCTGAGATGGCCCACTTTATATGCAGCCACGCGCCAGGATGCAGGACGCAAGAGGAGCACAGGCCAGCGCGTGTAGAGTCCTGTGGATCCAATGGCGGTGGAAGCATCACGGGGCTCTGGCAGCTCTCCCTCCAGAGGATTTTCTAGGCTGTAATCTTTATGGAGTGGGCCTTGGGGAGCACAATGGGCTAAAGCACTCGTCTGATAACAAAAAGGTCAGCAGTTCAAGGCCACCATCGGCTTCATTGACAAACGACAAACTCAATGCCCTCAAGTCAATTCCCTCTTGTAGTGACCCTACAGGACAGGGGAGAGCAGACCCGGCCGGCTTCTGAGACTATCACTCTTCATGGGAGTAGGAAGCCTCATCTTTCTCCCCCCAGAGCAACGGATGGTTTTGAACTGCTGACCTTGGGATTAGCAGCCCAAAGTGTAATCCACTACCCCAACAGGGATACTGGAGTAAAGACCTGGCAACTTGCTCTTGTCAAGAGCACAGCTTTGGAAACGCTATGGAGCAGGTTTATCCTGTCCTCCAGGGCGGCTGAGTTAGGATCGACATGATAGCAATGGGTTTGTTTCATGATTTAAAAGCAGAATCTTTAATTTATTTTAAAAAATCAACTCAAGAGCACACAACTCTAAAATCAATCTCTTCAAAAGCAGGCCTTCCTCCCCTGAAACCACCAGTGGTGTGTGTGTGTGTGTGTGTGTGTGTGTGTGTTGGGGGTGGGGGGTGGGGATGAGTTGTGTGCGGTTTCCCAACCACTATCATTTTGGTTTCCAGCTGAGCACTTAACCATTGTACCACCATAGATATTGGGCTTGTGGTAGCGAGCTTTGGAATAGTAGCCCAACGAAAAGAAAAAGAAAAACATTATAATTGAGTTGATCCTGACTCATAGTGAGCTCGTAGGACAGAGTAGAATGATCCTGTAGGGCAGCGGTTCTCAACCTGTGGGTTGCCACCTCTTTCACAGGGGTTGCCTGATTCATTATCGTAGCAAGATTGCAGTGATGAAGCAGCAATGGAAATAATGTTATGGTTGGGGGGGTCACCACAACATGAGGAACTGTATGAGTGTTGCAGCATTAGGAAGGTTGAGAACCACTGCTCTAGGGTTTCCCAGGCTGCGAAGCTTTACAGAAACCAAAGGCCACCTCCTTCTCCATGGAGGGTTTGTGCCAATGACCTCTGTGCTTACCAGCCAAGCACTTTACCACATTGCCACCAGGGCTCCCTGTGGTAGTCATCTCATCTGGTGTCAATTTAAGGATTAAGAGTGTAAGGGTGGAGTCTAGGCTGTCAATCTGGAGATAGCCAATGAGACTTCTGTGTGGGCGTGGCCTTCTCCCGAGAATTCTGGGAAATCTAGTACTTCCTCCTTGGAGGAGGAAGACACCTCTCTCTCTGCCACTTCCTGGGAGACATTGAAGAAGACAAGTCACATGGATGCAACCAGACCTTGGAAGCTGGAGAAGCCACAGAGAGACTCCTGCCAGCACTGAGATGCTTACAACGCCACTGGATCCAAAGACTTTCTACCCACTGACTTGTGATCATCCTGCATTTGGCTTCATGGCATGTGTTTTGTGAGTAATGGTAGAGTGGTAATGGACATATGGACTAATATCAGACTTATGGCCTTGGACTGGACTGGGCTGGGATGTTTTCTCAATGTTCAATTGCTCTTGTATATAAATCTCTTTCTTATACACATATGTGTGTCTGTGGATTTGTTTCTCTAGTCTACCGGGGCTAACACACTCCCCTAGTCCATCCTACCAAAAACGCACTGCCATTGAGTCAATGCTGACTCATAGTGACCCTATAGGGCAGGGTAGAACTTCCCCCGTGGGTTTCTGAGACTGCAACTCTTTACAGGAGTAGAAAGCCCCAACTTTCTCCCTTGGGAGCAACTGGTGTTTTTGAACTGCGGACCTTGCGGTTAGCAGCGCAAGGCATAACCAGTGTGCCACCAGGCCTCCTTAGTTCATCCTAAATGGTGTTTAATTTTAAGTATTCTATTTCTACAAAACCTGTGGATTAAGCACGCCTCCCAAACCAAACCCAACGCACTGCCATCGAGTCTATCCCAGCTCACAGTGACTACAGGACAGGCAGAAGTGCCCTTTTGGGTTTCTGAGACTTTACATCTTTCTGGGAGTGCACAGCCTCATCTTTCTCCCACAAAGCAGCTGGTGATACAACCGCAGCCTGACCAAAGGTCCACCTTGAACTGCCAGTGTACACAAACCGAAGAACTCCACACCTGTCCCCTGCTGGTCTGCACTGTGTTGTGCTCTGTGCTACGGTGGTCGTGTGCAGCCCACACCCCTCGGGGGCCCGTCTGGTGGGAAGAAAGCGGATCTGGGGAAGGTGACTGGATCAGGGAAAGAACGGGAAAGCTGGGATGGGGTCCTTCCACCCCTCGGGTTCCCACAAACTCAGCACGTCTTCCTGTCCTCGTCGGCCCCAGAGCCTGCTGCTAACACAATTGTGTCTCTTCAGTGGGACACACAAGGAAGCCCTGGAAGAAGGATGGCGAGGGAGATCCTTACAGCGTACCGTGGACATGTGGTCAGGAGAGACCAGGCCCTGGAGAAGGACAGCTGCTCAGTAAAGAAAGGGGGCAGCAAAAAGAATAAGAGGAAGCCCCTCAAGGAGATGGACTGACACAATGGCTGCAATGACGGGTCTAAGCACAGGAACGATTGGGAGGATGGTGGGGGACCGGGCAGTGTTTTGTGCATAGGGTCCCGACGGGTCGGACCGACTAGATAGCATCTAAGCACAACCACCACCCCAGCAGGAAGGAGTGGACGAGCTTGCAGAATAAAGGTGAAGTCAGAGGAAACCTGAGGGACAGCCTTGGCTCTACTACCGACTAGTTTTGGGAGCAGGTGAATGAGCATCTCTGGGTCTTGGTTTCTTCCTTTGTCAACTGAGGATAATCTTACCACCCTCCCAGGTCAGCCGTGAGGATGAGGCACAGGGCTGTGGACCAAATAGGTGTTCCACACATGCTTCCCTTTCCCCCATGCAGGGCGCACCCATGTTCTCAATGATGCCACGAGCTGTGATAGGCAAGGGGTGGGCACCCAGGACATCTGCCACCATGGCCAACCCGGCCTCTACCCCAGGAGAGGTTTTGAGCAAGGTAGCATCTTTTCTGAGCACCGCTTCACTCCTTGAAAGCTAAACAGATGATCCCCAACTCAGAGACGGTCAGATTTCTCAGCGCCAGAGAGACCTCGGGCACCCAGGTGGGGTGACCTGCCAAGGGCGCCCGACTACAGTGCTCCTGTGTGCCTACCACCCCTGCCACCTCTTGAACGGAAGGCAGAAAACAGGTTTCAACAACCCCTGACATGTGGACAGCTACACAGGAGGTGGCCACCTGGGTGCCAGGGCTACCAGGGAGAGGCCCCTTCTCACAGCATCAGTCGCTGGGCTTTCCAGAGACTAGGATTTTCCCTTCTCCCCGGGGCTCTGGTCTTCCTCCCCTGTCCCCAGAGACAGTCAGGAGCACAACCGGCCAGGGAACAAGGATGGGGCGTACCGGAAGTGGCCCTGAGCTCCCACCCACTTCACCACCCTTTCTTCCCTCGAGTCAGCCATTACACCCCGCCCCCACCCGACCCCCCAATTCGCTCACCTGAGAAGCCACCCTGGAGCCACAGCAGCAGCAGGAATGTGGGGACCATGGCTCCATCCAGTGGGGGGCAGGCTCAGGGGTCAGGACACCCCGGGGATCCAAAGCTAGGCCTCCAGGCTGGGGATGGCAGCCCGGCGGGGGGTGACCTGGGGTTCTGAAAGTGCAGCTGCCCATTTAGGGAAGTGAGGGAGCCGTGGCTCCCACCACTGCCAGCAGACCGCAGGGCCCCACCGAGCCTATCACGGGAGTGGCCCCACCGCTGTTTCCGCCCTCTTCCCCAGAACTTCAAGCGTGTGTGGCCGCTCCACCCAGTCTGGGGGCCCCCCAGTCAGGGAGGGTTCACAGAGCCCAACCCTCCCAGAAACTAGTCCACCGGCACTGTCTCCTGGCGTGGGCATTGGGAGAGCCATCCAGAAGGCTGCTGTGGGGTTTGGAGAAGCGTGTGTTCAGAGACCTGGGGAATTCTCTGGGCTCGGAGACCCAGGGCGAGGGGCGAGCTCCTCATAGACACGCTCACAGCGCGCTTCTTGCCAACTCACCCCTCTCGTTCCTCAAGCAAGCATTCATTCACTCGCCCGCCCTGCCCTGCCCTGCCACACCACCCGCTCTCGCCCAGACTCAGGGCTGGCACCTCAGTCACGCGTGCTCACACTTATTAATTGCCGCTATTTCGATCACGTGCAGTAGTATTTTTGTCATCGTAAGAGGGCCAGGAAGAACGATGCAAATGATAAGACTTAGAGCCCAAAGCTGGGTTTCACGAGTTCCTGTGCCCAAATATACTGTCGGTCGATCTTTTTCTACGCACACACACACACACAC